ATAAAGTTGCTGTTTTGTATATGTAAAGAGAATGACTAACTTTTAAAAAAATAAATTTTATTGATTTTTTACAGAGAGGAAAGGAGAGGATAGAGAGCTAGAAACATTGATGAGAGAGAATCATCAACAGCTGCCTCCTGCACACCTCCCACCGGGGACGTGCCCGCAACCCAGGTACATGCCCGCAACCCAGGTACATGCCCTTGACCGGAATCGAACCCGGGACCTTTCAGTCCGCAGGCTGACGCTCTGTCCACTGAGCCAAACCAGTTTCGGCATGACTGACTTTTGATACTACATAACACATGTAGTCCTTTAAAGTATTTTTAAATGTATTGGTAACAGATAGTTGACATTGGCCCCATTCTTACATTAAGAAAAGTAATTTACAATTTTAGCAGTGACATCCAATAGTTTTTCTACTTAAATAAAAATGTGTAAGATAATCCCAATTTAAAACAAGTTTTCTTTTTAAAAAATTTACTCTGGCAAAACAAAAGTAGTGGTTTTTTGTTTTTTTTAATAACTATAGATAATATTTTTTCTATACAAAAAGTCTAGCTAAATATTTTTTAAATTAAACCTTTAGCAGCAACCTTTCCTGGGAAGTGTTTTTGTAAACCAGTCTTGCTTTAAATTGTTCCTAGTTTAGTTCCACAGTTTTGGCTCTGAAATAGTTTACAGTTTATTGATATTACAGACAATGCTGCAGTAACTATTCCTGTGTGTTTTTGCAGTCCTGAGTTCAGGTCCTCTTTCCTCCTGCCACCCCAGGATAGATTGTCAAATGCTAGGGGAATTTAAATCTTTGATTGTTGCAGTTTATGCTATTAACAGTATGAGAGGTAGTTTTCCTCAAATGCTTGTGATGGATGTCTTCAGTCTTTTAAATTTTATAAATCTGATATTAAAAGTAGTACTTTATTTAAAAAATTTGCATCTCTCTAATATACACTGGCCGGATTATTATGATCTCTGAATGCATATTAATCTGGCCACTCAGTGTATGTACATACATGTTTATGTCCTTTGTGTTTCTAGTCTGTGAATTTAATTCTGTGTGTGTGTGTGTGTGTGTGTGTGTGTGTGTATGTGTGTGTGCTTTTTTATCTTTTTCTTATTACTTTTCAGGAGTTTGTGTATTAAGAATAGAAATCCCTTATAGGGGATATATATGTCTTTTATATTTTTATTTTATTTATTTTAAAATACTTTTTAAAAAATTATTATTTCAAAGAGGAAGAAAGAGGGAGAGATAGAAACATCAGTGTTGAGAGTGAATCATTGATTGGCTGCCTCCTGCAGGTCCCCTGCTAGGGATCTAGCATGCAACCCTGGGCATGTGCTTTGAGTGGAATCGAACCCAGGACCCTTCAGTCTGCAGGCTGACACACTATCTACTGAGACAAACTGGCTAGGGCTATAGTTTTTGTTTCGTTTTTAAATATATTTTTATTAATTTCAGAGAGAAAGGGGAGGGGGAAGAGAGAGAAAGAGAGATCAGTGATGAGAGAGAATCATTGATTGGCTGCCTCCTGCGTGCCCCACACTGTGATCAAGCTCACAACTTGGGCATGTGCCTTGATCGAGAATCAAACCATGACCTCCTGGTTCATAGGTAGACACTCAACCACTGAGTCTATGCCTTTTTTTTTTATTTTTTTTTTTATTTAGTATGTTTTTATTGATTTTAGAGAGAGGAAGGGAGAGAGGGATAGAAACATCAATGTGAGAGAGAATCATTGATCAACTGCTTCATATACATCCACTACTGGAGATTGAGCCCACAACCCGGACATGCACCGTGACTAAAAATTGAACCAGTGACCTCTTGGCCGGGATTTAATATGCTTTCTATTGATTTTTAGAGAGAGAGGAAGGGAGAGGGATAGAGAGATAGAAACTTTGATCAGAGAGATACATCAGTCTGCTGCCTCCTGCATGCCCCCTACTGGGGACCAAGCTGGCAATTCCAGGCATGATCCCTGACTGGGAATCGAATTGGTGATCTCTTGGTTATTTGATGAATGCTCAGTTGCTAAGCCACACCAGCCGGGCAAAATATATATATATATATATATATATATATATATATAATGTCTTTTTAAAAAGGATTTTCTTCCAACAATGAATTTCTTCATTTACAAGAGAATGCATTTGCTTTAAAATTTTTCTTTGAAATTGTGAAAGACCTTCCTTTCATGTTCAGAAGTTGATTTGTACGTATCTAGTTATAGTATGTCTCCAGGTATGTATGTGTTGGTGTATGTATATTTTTTATACTGAGAGCATTTAGTCAACAGATCAGAGAAATCACAATACTGGAAGCTAGATTTACATTTATGTTGCATCTGATACATTTGAGAATAGTATCAATGGGATATCTGAATATCTCCATTGAAGATTGAGTGTTGCTACTGTATGGATTTTCATATGTATCCCCTTTAGTAAATTGATTAAGAAATACCTTAGCATAGAGCTTCCTATGATGAACAGGTTAGAGGTGCACCCATTAACCCTGGGCAACTGGTAAGGCCCCTGGCCTTCCTGGGCTTGTAGTATGTTTCCAACTAAGCACGGTTGTGTTCTCAGTGCCTACAAGACTCAGAGACTTCGGCATGAAATAACTGTGTTCTTCGATTTAAGCTACATTTAAGTCTCATAAGTGGGTTCTTTAGACAATAGATTATACAAGGTGGGGTAAAAGTAGGTTACATTTGTTTGTATGGCAAATAATACAATAATTAATTAATAATACAAGGATAAACTCTGTTTCATATACTCACAATTGTAAACCTATTTGCCCCACCATGTAATAATGCGGTCTTCCCACACAATTAAATACAGAATGTAATTTATTGCAGTTTGTCTGTTGCTCAGTGGTTGGTGTTTTTCATTAAATTTTTTAAAAATTTATATCAGAGAGTAAGGGAGAGGGAGATAGAAATATTAATGATGAGAGACAGTCATTGATTGGCTGTCTCCTGAAGTCCCACACTGGGAATCGAACCATTACCTTCCTGTATACTGAGCCACGCTGGATAGGCGATGGCAGGCGTTCTTTCAAGATATACTACCAAATGGAGATTTAATTCATATTTCTTTGAAAGGTCTTTTCTGTGAAAAATTATATTTTTACAGCATTATTTTAGTTCCTAACTTAATTCATATAATAAATATTTGGGTGCCTTCATGTTCCAGGGACTGTAATTAGGACCAAGATTGGCAGAGTATTGCCTTCATGAAGCTGAAGGAGGAGTGGGGCATTGACCAAAATCTGTAAACAGTCTAACATAGCAATAAGTATCAAGAAGACAATGAGATAGGATTATTTGATGGTGCTAGGGGAATGGTGTCTTTTGGCGATGGTGGGTGGCTAGGGAAATTGTCTCTAAAGAGACCTTTTAGGTAAAGACCTTAGTAATGGGGAAAGGCCAGCTTGCTTATTTCTGGAGGTTTCTACCTTTCAGGTGAAGAGAACAAGAAATTCAAAAGTCCCTAGGTGTGGAGCTTGGAATATTCTGAAAGGAGTTCAGCATTTATTCCAAGTTTAAAATGGGAGCAGTGAGTTATATTTTAAAAATTGCTCTATCTGCTTTATATCTATAGGTCATAGGAGCTGCATTGAGATGCTCAAATGAGTTCTCTCTCTCTCTGTCTCTCTCTCTCTCTTTTATCCCTGCCTCCCCCCAATCTGGTTGTAAACTCCTTCTTCTCTTTCTCATTAGTTGGGGAAAAATGATCTAGGAAAAAACGGAAACTGTAAGTGGCCCTAAAAAGTGACCTCATGGTAACCAAGGGATAGAGTAAGGAGAGTGTCAGGACTCAGTGTGCCAGAGGTAGAGGCAGTGTTTCATGGCCCTGTTACTTGTCCCACACTCCCTCTTTGCAGAAATAAAATAGGCATGTAGAAGTTTATAGTGTAATCTATAATATTAAAGCATAATATGCTAATTAAATCAGAGTTCCACATGTGAGTGAGATCATGTGATACTTGTCTTTCTCTGAATGGTTTATTTCACTTAGCATAGTACTCTCTAGGTCCCTCCATGCTGTCTTAAAGGGTAAGAGATCCTTAATTCCCGCTTTGTTAATTTTTTTTAGTTATCTATGAAATATTTTATAGGCCCTGGCCAGTTTTTCTCAGTATTTGGAGCATTGGCCTAAGCACCAAAGGGCCCTGGGTCTGGTTTTGGTCATGGGCATGCACCTTGGTTGCAGTCTTGATCCCCAGCCCTGGTCAGGGCTAGTGCTGGAGTCAACCAGTTGATGTTTCTCTCCCTCTATCTCCCCCTCACTTCCACTCTCTAGAAAAATAGCATTGGGTGAGGATTAACAGAAATATTTTATAGGAATATACTAATATAGAAACTTTCTAATTAATTTATTTAAGCAGAGGTATCTATTGATACATATATAAAAACCTAATATGCGAAGTTGTCCTCTCAGGAGTTCGATCAACCAGGAGTTCAATTACTCACTATGACCAAGGGGTTGTGTGGAATGAAGGGAGGCCTCAGCTGGCAACCAGCAACCACTAGGGACCCTACCAATGCATGAATTTCGTGCACTGGCCGTCTGGTTACTTATAAGAAAGCTCTAAAATAGTCAAATTTATAGAATCAGAATGAAATGATGTTGGCTAGAGGCTGGGGAAGGGGTAAATGGAGTGTTGCTAATCAAAGGCAAAAGTTTTACTTAAGATGACGAATAAGATTAAGAGATTTGAGATTTGTACAACTGTACGTATAGTCAGCAATATTATATTGTACACTTAAAAATTATCAAGAGTATCTCATGTTGTGTTCTCACCACAAAAAGATAAAAATAAGTAAAATGAAGTACTTAAAAAAGAGAAAGCCCACATACCATGATTTTCACAATTTATATATTGTTGAGTTAATTGCTTATGTTTTAGAATTATAATTTAATAAAATAATTAAAAATAATTTGTTGTTGTTTTCTTATAACCAGGTTTAAGTATTGTGTAAGCTGCATCAATGGAGCACATACAGGGGGCCTGGAAGACGATCAGCAATGGCTTTGGATTCAAAGATGCAGTGTTTGACGGCCCCAGCTGCATCTCCCCCACCATAGTTCAGCAGTTTGGCTATCAGCGCCGAGCATCAGATGATGGCAAACTTATGGACTCTTCTAAGACAAGCAGTACTATCCGTGTTTTCTTGCCAAACAAGCAAAGAACAGTGGTACGTGAACATTCCTCTGAGGAAATGTAGTTGTCCATCTGCCTCTAGGGAACGTTATGGATCATGTTGCCCACCTTATAAACAGGCAGAATCTTCACTGTCACGTAGGATCTTCATTAATTGGCTTTCCAGTTGCAGATTTTATTATTTTATATGGCTGTGTTCCTCCCACAGCCCCTATTTTTTCCCAGTCCTTGGCCTTTCTTCTATTATAGCTCTTGCCTAGTATATCTTCTTTTCTGCACTTCATTTAAACAAATAGCACATTCTTTTTTTGTTAATCCTCAACTGAAGATATTTTTTCCATTGCTTTTTAAAGAGAGTGGAAGGGAGGGGAAGAAAGAAAAACATGATGTGAGAGACACATCGATTGATTGCCTCCCATGCACACCCTGACCAGGGCTGGAGATTGAACCTGTAATCCAGGTATGTGCCCTTGACTGGGAATTGAACCCAACACTGAGCACATAACCCAGGTATGTGCCCTTGACTGGGAATTGAACCCCATATTCTTATGGGGATATATTTTAAAGACTTTCAAAGCTCCCTTAGACCTTTCTAGCTAATTTAAAAAAATCATTAATAATTAAAAATTATTTTCTTCTGAATATTAAAGCAAAATGTTCACTTACATTTTTTTGAATATTATAATGAAGTATTTAGAAGAAAACAAAATTACCTATAAAAATTTATTATGTTAAAGTTCATTGGCCCCAGGGCAAAGCTGGAGGTTGCTTAGAAATCAGAGCATCATCTTTTCTAGAACACTGGCACTAGCCAGTTGTTGCAAAGCTTATTTTTTTTAGTATCAGTGACAGACTTCTATTAGCATCATGCATGGCAGACACTGCCACTCAGTTTTTTGACAAAAAACAAACAAACAAAAAACAAACCCAACTTAAAAAAAATGTTCAAAAAAGTTGCCTACTATCCTAGCACCTCCGCATTGAAGCAGAAAAATGAAGTTTGTGCTCATTTTGCTTGGTGGGACATTTGAAAACCTTAATTCAAACTTCCACACCTTCTCCTTTCCCACCCTTCATTCTTTATGTAAAATCATTGCATTGTGTTTACTCTTTGTACTTAGTGTGAGGCGGGTTCTGAGGTTGGGAGGTCAGGACAGAGTTTTCTCAGTCTGTTCGAACAGTTCCACTCTCCGCATTTTACTAATAAATTATACTTCTTTTGTGAACCTAAGGAGCCTCCCAGGTAGTGTTACATTAAGGTACATTTGAACTCAAAAGTCATTTAAAATTTAAGTAAATTTATTTATGTTTCCTAAAAATGAAAGTTTAATGACTGGCAAAATAAATAACAATCCCCTTATATTTCAGTAGTGGTCTTTCATTTGCAAAGTGATTTTTACCTACTATTTCAATTTTCTAACTGTAATAGAGAGCCCAGGTGGGAAGTATGAATGTGATGTGAAGATCATCTGTTGTGGCTCTGGGCGTTATTGCAGTTACTTCTCTCTCCCCGTCTACCTAGTTTGCCTGGGAGGCTGGGAACCTTAGTTTGACATAATGGTTAAGTGTATGGACCTTTAAGAAAGCAGGCCCAAACTTAAATCCCTGTGTTGCCTTTTATTAGCTGTGTCATTTAGACAGGTTATATAATATTTTGAGACTCTGTTTCTTGACCTTTATGAAATGAGGCATGCTGAATACAGTGGCTAATTCATAAGTAAAATGGTAGCTGTGATTATTTCTGAGTTTTTTTCTACATCTGTGTAGTCCTTGGCAGCTTTCATTTGAACACAACTGGTAGTTGGGAACCAGTGATTTGGAAACTTGATTTCTCTTACAGCTCAAGAGAAGGTTCAGTAGAAAAAGTTTCTCCTATTTCTTTGACTTGAGATGGACCCTCTGTCTCTAGAAGAACCAGCTTCTTTCACAGGCACCAGCTTAGGGGGGCACTGAAGGAGAAAGGAGCTCCTTGCTGGCCAACACCGTCAGTCAGCTGCTTCTAATTAGCTCCAGGCTGCTTCACTGCAGGAACCCAAAATAACTCATCATTACTTAGCGGGCTCCAGAAATTAGTCAGATGTAACCATTTCCAACATGTGTCTATGGGGAGTTGTAGAGAGAATGACAGAGAAGATGTATATCTGATTTAAATAATTTTAGAAGTAATAAATTAGTAGTTGCTTATATTTTGAATTTTTTGTCGTTTGTTTTGTAAACATGTCTCTCTGACTAACTGCTGCTGCTCCTTGTTGTTGTATGAGTAACTGGGCCATAGCTAAGACTGTAAACAGTTAGAATCACCTGACAAAGCAGGTTAAAATAGAGATTCCTGGGCTTCATTTAAGAGTAATTGAATCAAAATCCTTGTGTTTTGGAGGAGAGTGGCTGGGAATCTGTATTTCACAAGCCCCTTGTATGATTCTAATGGCAGCCACATTTGAGAACCCCACTGGATTAGAAGATATTTAAAGAACTGTCTAACTCTTGGAGTCTGTTAACTTTAACGAAGATTAATGATATAATACAAGTATCACTTTACAGCTTTCAAAGCACTGCTGCACAGTGTGTGATGCAGGTCATGTATGATAGTCTTAGGATGTGTTTATTACTCTTTGTTGACCTCATTCTTGCTGTTCTTATCTACATAGTTCAGCTCATTATATTTTATTATTTTACTATTCCCCCCCCCCCCCTTTCAATCCTCACCAGAGGACATGCTTTAATGGATGAGAAAGATGTGAGGGAGGAGGAAGGGGAGAGTAGGAGGGAGGGAGGGAGGGAGGGAGGGAGGGAGGGAGGGAGGAAGGGAGGGAGGGAGGGAGATAAATATGAGAGTGAAACATCTATTGGGGATCCCTTCCTACTGGGGATCGAACCCAAACATGGATACGTGCCCTGAAACGGAATTGAACACTCAACCTTCTGTTTGTACAGGACTATGCTCCTACCAACTGAACCACAGTAGTCAGGGCTCAGTTCATCTTTATTTCACTTTATTTGTTGTTGGTTGTTTGTTTTTCCCCTGAAAAGCTGGAAGTTAGTGTGATCTTTTAAAGAATATCACTGATTCAAGAAACCTTTAAAATAAACTTGTTATGTAACATTTTAAATGAATGTTTTAAAATATTTTAAACTTTTATAAAAGATACACTCACATTCCTCTGGGAAGAGGCTGGGTCAGCAACTGGCATCTGTTACACTTTCACCCGGTGGGGGAGTTTCACAAATGCTGTCATCCCATCCTGCTCTCCTTACTGGCCATTCTGATTCTAGTTGCCTTACGTTGTGTCAACTTTATTGGCTTTAAAAATAAAGTATATAGGGCTTGTATAAAAACCCTTTAAGATTTTAGTTGAGATTTTTATATAGCATCCATTACTAGTACCGTGGGCCCTCACACATTCTAGTAGGCCTCTGGATGACTGTCTAACCGTTAAGGATTGGGTACGGGGACTGTGGAGAGGCATACATGCTGAGACTCCTGGCATGTTGTGCACATTGATTTAAACTAGCAGTGGTGTGTCCTTACAGCAGGGCAGAATCTGTCCTTTCATTTCCTGCTTGCTCTCACTAGTGTAAAGTGCAAATGAGATGGGAATTTTTTTTTTAATCCTCATTCAAAAATACGTTTTAATTTATTTGAAATAGAGAAAGAGAAACATTTATGTGAGAGAGAAACATCAATTGGTTGCCTCCCCTACATGACCAGGAATTGAACCTGCAACCTAGATCTGTGTGCCCCAACAAGGAACCAAACCTGCAACCGCTTGGTGCCCAAGATGACGCTCCAACCAACTGAGCCACCTCACCAGGGCAAAATGGAAATTTTTTTATGAAGATCAACTGTTTGATTGAAAATAGTTTGAGATACAAATTTTTTTATCAGAAAGACTCGTTTGTTTATAGATCAGATTGGCTTATTTTTTTTTTCTGGTGGATGTCTATGCTTGCATGTACATTTCAATGAGTCAGACAAATTAGAGTTGGGGAAAGGGAAAGTTTATTATTTTATCTTTTCCAACCACTCTCTTGATAACAGCTAGGTGTATATCTTTTCACACAGATACATATACATGTTCTCCACCCTGTAAATAACCTTACTTTTGTATTATTCTGAAAAACATTTCCCCTCAGTTAGCATATCATGGACACCCCTCCCTCCACGTTATTATGAATAATCTAGTAGTGGCATAATGTGGCATACACAGATGTTCTGTGTTTTATTCAAGCGCTCACCTATTGCTAGACATTATATGTGTGTGTCTATGTACACCATTATAAGCTACATGCCTCCTTACAGACTGGTGCATTTATTTCTGGGCTTGTTTTTCCAAGGGTGTGCAGCCTGTGTTGGTTCTAAAGATGGTCCTTTGTTTGTAGGTCAATGTACGAAATGGAATGAGCTTGCATGACTGCCTTATGAAAGCACTCAAGGTGAGGGGCCTGCAACCAGAGTGCTGTGCAGTGTTCAGACTTCTCCACGAACACAAAGGGTAAGAGCTCAAAATTAGCTGCTTCATGCTAGTAAGGATCTTCAAATACTTTTTCATTTTTAAAAATATATACTAGCTTCCTGTAAAATATTGTATATTTGTATATCCTTGTTTATAAAGAGAGAATTCAGAAAAATAAAATACTAAAACCTTGAAATTATTGCTTAAAAACATTGCATTGGGCCCTAGCTGGTTTGGCTCAGTGAATAGAGTGTTGACTGAAGGGTCCCAGGTTTGATTCCAGTCAAGGGCACATGCCCGGGTTGCAGGCTCCATCCCCAGAAGGGGGCAAGCAGGAGGCAGCCAATCTCTCTCATCATAGATGTTTCTCTCTCTCCTTCTCCCTCCTCTCAGAAATCAATAAAAATATATTTAAAAAAACACATTGCATTGAAAAATAAAATACATGTTAGATGTTTTTATAGATGGAAACAGTAATGTCATTTTTTGAGAGCAAAGTGTTTTTGGTTTGCAATAATGCAGTGCACACATTAGGTACTCACAAAATGTTGCATTATTATTTATAGATAAAGAATACTATTCCCAAGAGATCGACTCTCTTGTAATTCACTCATTTTTTTTTTATTCAGTTAAGTTTACTGAATCCCTACAGTTTGATTGACACAGGGCTAAAAGATGCAGAAGAATTTCTGCTTCAAGGAAGATCCAGTGGCACAAAAGAAGCATCCCCTCCAAGGCTGGGAATGATACACCAGCATATCAGAGCCACTTATAATTGTCCATTATCTGTTACTGTACCCCCAAAGTGTGGATAAATAACCTCGTCTTTACCTTATTGGAAAGTGCTAGTTCTGTTGTTGAGCTTCAGCTAACATTTGTAATATTTGAGGGAGTCCCCCAGTTTGAGAGTATGGCCCAGAAATGAGCCTACTCAAAGAAGTGAGCATAAATTCCTCTATTTATGGTATTTCTCTCAGCTTAGGAGGCGGTGTTGAAGTGCAAATCTTTGAAGCAGATGTCATCTTTAGCTCCAGGTTGGTCCCCAACCCAATCTATAGTGCTTCTTAAAGACTAGAGATTCTAATGTGAGGGATACAGTGCAAAGGCAGCCATCTTCAAGCCAGGAAAAGGGCTCTTACCAGAACCTAATTTCTGGCGTCCTAATCTTAAGACTTCTAGCCTCCAAAACTGAGAGAAATAAGTCTGTCATTTAAGAAAAAGGGTTAGAGAGATTCTGAGATAAGGAGCTTGGTCCATTCCATTCCCATCCAAGGTTGCATTGATTTAGAACTACCCTACATTATTTCTTGGATAGACAGCACCTGAAGATTAATTGGAAAATAGGGCTGCTCCTGTTTTTTCTTTTGGGCAAAATGGGACTTCCCAGACCTTGTGTAAGGAATTATATTAAGGGATTGATTGTTTACTATTGGAAACAAAAACGGAGAAAAAAGGCTGGAATAGTCCTCTGGTAACAAAGGTTTGAATGGTGGTGTTCTCTCCCTATCTGAGAGGAACATCATTCAGGATGATGGGCCTAATTAACTAGACAAGACATGAGAAAGGAGCTGGGCATTACATTTCACTTCAATACATCAATTTTTCTGTCTTGTATACTCTAGGCACAGAAAGAGTGGTCTCAGAATAAATATTAAGACAGTCAAGTTGGCTGTCAACTTATATTTATAGAGTCTGTACACTATAGATTTGAGCCTGTTTATTAATAAAAAAGTGCATTTCATTTGTGATTCCTTTCAGTTTATCTTCTAGATTGAAGTAAGCAAGTGAAGATTAAATTTTACCCCCATAGCAGTATTTATAACCTGTTTTATAGGTTCTTTAGGATTTTTAATAGGATTTTAATATCACAAAGTCCAATTTACTGCATATTTACATCATCGTGAGATTGCTATATTTCATTGTGTAAACAACCAACCTGGGTTCCAATAATAATAGAACTCTCACCTTGTTTAAACATTTTCCCTTTGTATTTTTTTCAATCCTCTTTAGTAAAAAAGCACGTTTAGATTGGAATACTGATGCTGCCTCCTTGATTGGAGAAGAACTTCAAGTAGACTTCCTGGATCATGTTCCTCTCACAACACACAACTTTGTAAGTTGCAGATCTCTTCTCTCTTTGTGGCATAGCAAGTGTTTTGGCTAGCAGGAATTTTCCTGATGTCATAGCATATATCTAAAGCGTTAATTATGTCATTGTTTTACATTAAGGCAGTTTAGGCTTCATTAGTCGCAGATGTACTTTTTTCCTAGGTATGAATTTTACAAATGTTGGAAGTATGATTATTTATGAAACCTCTTGGGGGTCAAGAAAGAAATTATTTTGTCTTTTGTCACCTTTCATTTATTCAGCATAATTTACACCCGTGTTCTTGTCGCTCCAGGCTCGGAAGACCTTCCTAAAGCTTGCCTTCTGTGACATGTGTCAGAAGTTCTTGCTAAATGGATTTCGATGTCAGACTTGTGGCTACAAATTTCACGAGCATTGTAGCACCAAAGTACCTACTATGTGTGTGGACTGGAGTAATGTCAGACAACTGTTGTAAGACATTATTCTTTATTAACATAATATAAGGAGGTGGGGGTGTATAACATCACTTGAGGATGCTTATTGTATATTTGACTGACAGGTCAGGTTTTTGGACTTGGTAAATGAATTATCGTAATCCAGAAACCATCTACTATGGAAATATGACATATCTGAAACCAGTGAGTTTTAGTGCAGCATAACTCTCTAAAATGAGCAGGTAGGACTATTAATCCGTCATATAGAGATTGAGATACTGTGATTCAGTAATGCAATGAACAAAGGGATACAGGAACCAAAAAGACAGTGTCTGCTAATACACTCTATCTTTACTTCAAACTGGAGAAACAGTCTTGAAATGTTTTGAATCTAAAACCTTAAAAGACATTTGTATCCCTCAGGAGATAAACCAGTTATCAAAATGTATATCATATAGAAGAAATATCTTTTAGTAAGATTTAAGTTAAAGGTACATATTCCAAAATGCTTTTTAAAACTGTTAATACAGGAATATGGAAAGTCAAAGTGTTCCCCTTTTTCGAGGGATAAATTAAGGGAGTATGATCATTAAACCACAATGGGAATATCTGTTTTTACTTTTGTGCTGGTGACATGTTGCTTTTACAGAGACCTTGTATAGGATAAATGGCACAAGCTTTGGAGTCCAGCAGACATGGGTCAAAATTTTGATGTCACTAACTATAATCACCTCTGAGCCCCTTGATTCACTTATCTGGGCGGGGGCGGAAGGTTATTACCTTCCTTGCAGTGTCCTGTGAGGATTACCTGAGGAAATGTGAAATTGCTCATCTCCCTACCACTTCTCTTATTTATAACCTTTGGTGCTGAATGTGACTTATTCTTTACATTTCAGTCTTTTCATCTATGTGTTTCTGAAACAATGTTTCCAGAAAACTCCACATGATTTATATTATAAATGTGCTTTACTGGAGCTTTAAAAAATATTATTTTGACATAGTTGGACATAGGGCCAGTATTTCCTAGAAATACATAGAGCCTGCAATGTTCATTGACAGGTCAGTATTGTTCACAATTTGTGGTCATTCAAACCCAGTCATTTGGGTTGGTGGTCTCTTTACTCTGGGTAGCCTAAAATAATAAAGAAAATGTGAATAGGAAAAGTTCAGTTTTAGGAGCTTTAATTTGCAAGGAAGTCAGGCTGATTATAAAATAACTGCAAGTCTATAAACTAGTCTTTCTCTGATTTCATTTAGGTTGTTTCCAAATTCCACTATTGGTGATAGTGGGGTCCCAGCACTGCCTTCTTTGACAATGCGTCGGATGCGAGAGTCTGTTTCCCGGATGCCTGTTAGGTAAATTTTTTTTATTTTGTTTTGTTTTGTTTTGAAGTTATAACGGGGACTTGAGAGGTGGGATTGCATCCTGAATAGAAAAGAAAAAGGGTTTGGGTTTTTTTCTGCATTCTCTCCTCTCTGTGTAAACCCTTTGCTGCTTTATTGGTATTAGAGAAAAATGTAGAACTTTCTTTTTTTGGTCCTGTGATTCTTACATTCTGGAAAGTGACTCTTACTAGAGGATTCTTCTATTATCATGTATGACCCTTAATATCTCATCATATTTTTAAAACTATGTGATTTTGCTGCCTTCATGTAGTGAGGTGAGCCTCAGGAAGGATCCCAAAACTATGTAAAATGATGTAATAAAAACAAATAAAATTTGTTAAAGCTTTTTTCTTTTTTAAAGGTATTTTTATTTATTTCAGAGAGGAAGGAAGAGTGAGATAGAAACATCAGTGATAAGAGAGAATCATTGATCAGCTGTCTTTTGCACACCCCCGACTGGGATCAATTCTGCACCTTCGGCATGTGCCCTGACTGGGCATCGAACTCTGACCATCTGGTTCATAGCTCAGTGCTCAATTACTGAACTTATTGTGGCATTGCATTGCTAAGACATAGAATTTAATAGACTGCTATCTTTAAAAAGAATATAATTACATATATATTTTTTGAGTCTTCAGTTTTATTACAGAAATGTAGATGATCAGTTTGATCAAAATGAAAGCTTGTTCACAAGTTTGCATGAATATTGTAAATACAAAGAATTCTGAAACAATTTTGATACAATTTTCAGTTTTTAAAGGGATGCAAACATTCACTTTTCTGCTTTCTAATCCTCAATGCCAAGACATATTATTTTAATAGTGTATCTTTTCTGCAGTTAAATTGAAATTCACAGGAATAATTGAAACATGTAGACAAAACCTGGTCAGCAAAGGTTAAAAATCCATTTTTTGGTGGTATTTTTGTGTAAACACGCTTCGTAATGTACCTGTGATTTTGAACATTTTCTTTTACTGTTTTCCACCTTTAAAACGAGCGTTTGTGACTTTACATCTTGCTTAGTGTTACATGTGAATTTGGAACCTAAAGTAATAGCTACATCTTTGTCAAAAGACTGACTTTAATGTACATATAATTGTATAATATTTAATGGCCTTTATGAAATCACCATAGAATTGTTAAAAGCAACGTATCTTAGAACAAGGGACTTGTATCGAAATAATATCTGAATATATATTTGTGTATGATTTTGTTTTTCTTGATAATTTGAAAAGCAAGTCTGACCAAAAAAACTACTTGCTTCTAAAATAATAAAATAATAAAATAACCAAACCTCTACAGCAGTGGTTCTCAGCAGTGGTTCTCAACCTGTGAGTCGCTATCCACAGGTTGAGAACCGCTAGCAGTCGCCTAAGACCATCTGAAAACACAGATATTTACATTACGATTCATAACAGTAACACAATTAATTATGAAGTAGCAACAAAAGTAATTTTATGGTTGGGGGTCACCACAACAGCAAGAACCTGTATTAAAGGGTCGAGGCAGTAGAAAGGTTGAGAACCACTGCTCTAGATATTCTTTTCACATGAATTCCAAGAGCATGTATTACTTTCTTTTCAAAAATTTGCATGCAAAAACACAACAGAGGAAAAATTTTGAATGATGCATATTGAAACAAAAGAACATTTTGTAAAAGGTAGTATGTAGTACAAGTAGGGGTTACCACAGAGTATCTTTTTTCCTTTTTCTTTTTTTAAATATGTGTATTGATTTTTTTAGAGGAAGGGAGAGGGAGATAGAGAGAAACTTACCAATGTGAAGCACATTGATCAGCTGCCTCCTGCACCCTCCTCCCTACTGAGGATTGAGCTCACAACTCGGGCATCGAGCCTGCAACTCTGTCAAGTGCCGACAGGGATCGAACAGGCAACCTTTCAGTGCATGGGATGATGCCCAACCAATGAGCACACCTGCTAGGGTCTCCCAAGTATCTTAATGAAGTAGGTGGTTGAATGACTTTTCCAGTGGGGAGGCATGCATGTCAATCATGGGATTGTCTGTCTTCTCTTCACCTAGTTCCCAGCACAGATACTCCACACCCCACGCCTTTACATTCAACACCTCCAGCCCCTCCTCTGAAGGCTCCCTCTCCCAGAGGCAGAGGTCGACATCCACACCTAATGTCCACATGGTCAGCACTACCCTCCCCGTGGACAGCAGGATGATTGAGGTAATAATAGGGCCCGGTGGGTGGTGATGGGAATCAGTCAATTCGGGTGGGATTGACTATTGTGCCACAGAGTTTTGGGTTTCAAACCTGATAAGCACTTTCTCAGATCTCTAAACTTTGTAATTTTATTTTTATCCACTACATCTTTAGATTGGCTCAGTAATCTGGTTGGTATATCATTCAAGTGGAGAACTAAAATTTGCTGAAGAAAAAATGTTAACCCTTGAATTCATTTTTTCCATGTTAGATTTTAATAGGATTTAAGTGAGCTAGTGAATAAGCTACATAAAGAGTAGTTTCATTTTGGTGTGGGAAAGAAAATAATAGTGATGAAAAAACTACAAATTCTGAAAGACTTTAAATGTTTTGGCTTAGAAACAAAAGGGTGGAGTCAGGATTTAAATAAGCAGGTATTTAGGGAGATGTAAAAGTGCTCAAAGCTAGTGCTTTCAAACGCCTTTTCTTTTCTTGGCTTTTGGTATGATCTATTTGTTTGGTTTGCTTTCTAGTTCATCTTTAATAACAACTGAATACACTTAAAACTACTTCCTTTGTTCTTTATTCTTCTTTATTTCTCATTGCTTTGGACTAGAATAACAGCCTGAATGCTTCTCCCAGGGCGTGGTCCAGAGGATTTTGTTTGAGGGGAAGAGTAGGTATTCTTCTTTATGCCTTTGCTTTCTTGTCAATTAACAGGATTGCTAAGACTGTCAGAAAGGAAACAATCACTAAGTTAAATTTTATATTTATTGTCAGACTTGCTTTCATGTTCCTTTTCTTTTTTTGGAAATACAGTACATAGGAGTAAAAATAAAATATTGTCTGTGGTATTGCTGACAGGTGAAATTAGTTTCTCAAGTGTGATTTTGAGGCTGAGGGCATTAAAAATTTTTAAAAAATCATTTCTAATCCAAGATCAGTGCTAGTATAGATTTGGTTGGTACAGCACCACTATTCTATTTATACCTTGTTTAAAAACCAAATGTGTAAGTTTGGTTGACATGCCCTGAAAATCCTTTGTTAAAATTTATCAGAGATAACTGTGCTCTCTCTACATCATAATTTGTTCCTTGAAGAACCTCAGGATATCTGCCACTTCAGGCGCAACTTATCTCACTCAACCCTTAAATCACTTGTCCTACCAATAAGAGGTGGCAGGAACTCAACAAAAAACTTGGCTTTCTGATATGGGGTCTATAGTAGTCATTTGTCTGGAGGGACACTTTCAGTATCACAGGATTATTGTGAGGCCATGTGTATATATAAGCTATGAATTTTATTTTATTTTTTAAATCAAAATTAGCCCTGTTAATCATATGGTAATATATCAGTTACTTATTTTTTCTATATGACTTGTTCCTGTGTAAATACTCTAATATTTAAAGGAAACATTAAAAGTAAAACATTTTTGTTACTATAAAATAACCAGCACTGCCATTGTGCTTAACCCTCTCTCTACTTTATTTATTTGATCCTCACCTGAGGATATGTCTTTATTGATTTTAAAGAGAGAGGGAGAGAGAAACATGAGACAGAATAAATTTGGATTTGTTTTTATCACATATGATTCAGCATTCTTAAAGTATACATTCTTGCTTTAATATTTAGATTCCAAAATGATTGAAAGGTCCCTTTTAGGATAAATCAATCCAACTGTAGATATTAGTACAGAATAAAATATGTGATATGGAATTGATACAGGAAGAAAATTACTGTGACATTAAGAAAGAAATCCTAGTGAATGGGAATATAATCCTGGTCAGTAAAATACATTGTGCCATGCTTTGACTTCAAACAACTAATAGATTAGTTGGATGACAAAGCTGTAGCTGCTGCGTATTTAATAAACTTCAGGTTTATTTTTGGCCAATATTTTCCTGGCATTCATCCTGTTGTACTTAAAACCATAGACGTTCCTAGACTTCCCACCTGCTCCCCCAAACATGCTCACTGAGTCCTAGTGGGGTGTAACCTGTGATATCAAACACCTCTCTAGGGGATTATTAAAGACTTGCCAGGTGTGGGGACCCCAGATCCAGGCTTTATTAAAGATGCTTTGGTTGGGGCTGCTAAGGCCAGGAAGGGCAACTTGGTTTATGATTTTTCTTTAAATCTTGTGAGGATATTACAAAGTCGCAGCATTCTAGTAATAGTTGTGTGGGAAAAAAGTATCTTACTGTGGTGACACAAAGAAAACAAAGAGGATAGGATTTCCCAGAAAAATACCCTTTTTGAGGTTGAGGACATAGGGGCCCTGTGGTTTTACATTGTTACTATTTATATACTCTTAAGTGAGGATATATAAATTGAGTGTTTAGGTCTGTGGAGGGCCTTGTGATTTAACTTTCACCCAGTTTGTAATAAATTCTACAGATAGCATTTGACATCTTACCACCTAGAGAGTAACGAATTTCAGAGCTTGCCCATAAGGTCTGAGGAGCATTTTGTGGTGAAGGAGCCGAGATCCCTCGTGATGGTTTCTTGTCCTAGCTCTGCCAGCTACTGGCAGTGTGACCTGGCCAGTCTTTCGACCTGTTACACAGTTTTCTTATATGTAAAATGTAGGTATTGGACTAGGAGATTATGATCCTTTCATCTTTCCACGATTTTTAGGCTTAGATAAAGTGATAAAGTCATGGCTCACTCATATCAAATCCAGCTTCTGGCCAATGTACCCTAATAAACTCCCAGAGGAAGTAAGAGTGAGCTTGCCACTGAACCCCCCACTTTTTTTTGGCCTCACGGGAGCCAGATCCCCAAGCATTGGAAAGATCTTAGCCGATAGTAACTTTCTTAGCCTTCCTTAAAACGTATGTTTGCTGTGTGCATTGCTTTCTTCTGAGATAATTTGGTTTTCATCATATATGAAAACTTAACATCAGAAACATTAGCCAGTGACATTTGGTGAATTTAGACTGTATTTAGAGATTTTGTCATCTACTTTGTTCCTGCAAATCCTCCCCTCCCGCTTCCCCAAAGAACATCTTTTCTGATGCCGAAATTGACCAGCTTTCCTTTTCTATTTCAGGATGCAATCCGAAGTCACAGCGAATCAGGTACTTGTCCAGAGTCTTAGCAAATAGTAATGGGCTTTTGCTCTTTATGCCGTGTATCTTCTTCTGGCTTATCCACGTGTGGATTCTGTTTATCTTGTCTATTAAGCCTCACCCTCAGCCTTGTCCAGCAGCCCCAACAACCTGAGCCCAACGGGCTGGTCACAGCCCAAAACCCCCGTGCCGGCACAGAGAGAGCGGGCACCGGGACCCGGGACCCAGGAGAAAAACAAAATTGTGAGTACGGCCAAAGCATCTCCTGCAGGGTAGGGTTCAGTAGGAAAAACTTAGAAATGAGAATCCTTTTGATTTAGGGAGGCAGGGGATTCTTAACAAAAAGCCCTTGCTGAATCATATTATAAATGTCATGCCGTTTTTGGTATGCTTGCATTAGGAAAACTTGTTGGTTTGTTATAAGGGAGGGTGCAACTAAGATGGTATTTTCTGAAAAACAAAAATTGGAATTATAGTAAGTTTATTTTCAAAATGTCTGAGAATAGATGGAGTTGATCTTTCCTTTGAACCCTTGTTAAATAGACCTTTACCTTTCCATGAAATGTATTTAATGCTCTGATTGTTTCAGAGGCCTCGTGGACAGAGAGATTCAAGTTATTACTGGGAAATAGAAGCCAGTGAAGTGATGCTCTCCACTCGGATTGGGTCAGGCTCCTTTGGAACTGTTTATAAGGGCAAGTGGCATGGTAAGTTTGGGGCCTTGACTTCAAGGGGTGAAGTCAAGTTTCAGTCCAGAGAGCATAGGAGGGGGATAGGATTCAGCAAGCTCTGTAGCTCACAGCAGCACGCTCTAGGGATACTGGATTACATCTGAAGATTGAATTCAATATTTCAGCGAGATTTCACAGCATTCATTTTAGTCTCTATAATGCTGTAATTGGTATAAGGTTGTGAGGGTAATTGGAAATTTGTGAACAAGAGGTGAGCTCAAAATGTCAGGGAATCTTCTTATAAACTGACTAGAGGCCCCGTGCATGAAATTCATGCATGGGTAGAGTCCCTAGACCTGGCCGGCAATCGGGGGCAACTGGCAGATAGATGAGGGGGAGGGCTGGGGGATCCACTGGCACCTGCCTTGGCTGGCCTGGCGCTGCCCGCTTGCCAGCCTTGTCTCCCCCTCCCTGCCCCCCTCCTTCCCCCCCGGCTGGTCACCTCCCTCTGCAGGGCGATTGGGGGGTCTCCACTAGCACTGCCCTGGCTGGCCTGGGCCTGTGGACAGAATGCAGCTCCTGCATTGGGTCTGCCCCTTGGTGATCAGTGTGCATCATAGTGACTGGTCATTCTGCCATTTGGTTGATTTGCATATTAGGCTTTTATTACACGCATTAAATACAGGCTGCACGAGGGACATGCTTTGAAGCTTCTCAAATGAGTAAGAATCTGCTGCTATGGTGGGAGCATGGATTCTAGAACCTTACAGCTGGAAAGCACCTTAGAGATTTTACATATAAAACAGGTCCTGAGAGGGGAATCATCATGCCACCCTGCCTCTGGTCAAACATCCTGCGACAGCTTCTCTTTGCTCTGCCCTGGGATTGGCTGTGGGAATGCCCATCAGTAGGGAAGGGAGCTTTCAGAGGCTTACTTCTTGAATCTGTAGAGTTGTTAGTATTCTTATTCTAATGGAAACACTGTCTCTTGGAAGAAATGTACTATTGCAATGTCTGTAGCCACAGCTTGTGTATTTGGCATTTTTTATCAGGTTTTTAATGCCTCTGGCTTATGATGTTAACATTTTAAGAAGTATTGCCTTTAAAATGCTACATGTTCCTAAAAAGATATCTCTTATAAATTCATATTTTAAAAAAGCAAAAATAAAAACCAAAGCAAACAAACAAAAACTAAAAACACCTAAAGGGCCTACGTGCCTATATTTCCACTTTGGATGCTCCCATATTATCTTTATTGTAAACAGGCAAAGATTGAGAGAGCTTAAGAGAGTCATGTGAATGGAGCATTAAAATTCATGGTTTTGAAAACTGAGAAATACCTCCAATATTGCCTGAACTTTAAGTTCATGAATATGAGTATACCACTTGTAATTAATCATCTGACAAATTTCTCCTTTCAGGGACTAGCACGTTTGTAAGTTACATGTAGGATGATTCTTTTTCCTTTGAAAATTCTAAATAATATACTAGTGGCCTGCTTGTGGGTTTCTGAGAAATTACACTCTTGCAGAATATTATCCAAGTAGATGTCATAAATGTCTAAGTGACCCCTTAGGAAAAGATAGAGGTGCTTGTATCTGCAACAACAAGGCTGATAGTAACTGTAGGAGTTAGAGCAGTGACTATTGCTTTAATGTTTCCATTGGAAGCATTTAATCATTTTTATGCCACACATTTTTTTAAGCATCAGCTAAAAGCCAATAGATGCAGTGTAAATTGTGCCCAAATTTAAGTTTCCTGATTGAGCACATAATTTTTATATCATTAGTTAGATTTGCCACAATACTGCTTATGAACTTGTGGTTTTTTCTCAATCATGAGCTTTTAGGCTGCTATACTGATACTGCCATAAAGTCTTCTGTTAGAAGGTAGATAATATGTCTAATACTTTTAAAATTCTAGTTTTTTAAAGTCTGAAAAGTCAGAGGAGCGAGGAGCAATGGACTTTTATGTCAGCCCCTCAAAAAGAGAGCCATGTGAGCTCTAAATGTCAGGGGAGAGTCAAGGAAACCATAATTTCTAGGTTGAGTGTTTTGTGCTGTACTCTCCCTGCCACCCCCTTTGTTAATGTTTCTCTGGTTCCTGTATATAGTATGTTATTCAATTTATCAGTGAGACTATTTTGATGATTTTTGAAAATTTGTGATTCTGCCTAGCAGATGTGAAAGTAAACAGAAGGGTCTCAAAGCAGCTGAGATGGAGACCTCGGATCCATGAACTAAAAGCTTACTTACTTTATGTAAAGAAGGGGGCCTGGGGTTCAAGTACAGAGCCTCCTTTTAAGCATAAGTTTGTGGTCTGACTTGTTAGTCTCGGCTCATTACAAATAACACATTAAAGAGCATGATGACAGGGGCCAGCACTGACAGCAGGAAGAGGAGGCAGCAAAACCCTCCAGCAGGTCTCTCAACTTAGCGTGAGGCAAGCAGTCTGCATAACCTTGTCTGGGGATCCCCATCTCAACCTGACGCTGAAGTTTATACTAACTTTCACTGAGTCAATGAGAGAGGAGGAATGGTGTTCGTTCTAGTCTGTTGCAGAAAACAGGGTCTGTGTATAAATCTTAGACAATCCCAATGGGGAAATGAATTAGTACCATCCTTTAGATGTTGAATGATTGCCAGCTATAAAGGTATTGAGATAGTTTGGAGACGCGTCTTTGTTTTGAGCTGGTACCTAATTTACAGACTTGGGGCCAGGCAAGGCCTGGGGGCCTCAGGCTGGGCACTGAGTCCTGACTTACCCTTCCAGAAACTGATTCTGAACCTGGGCTGCAAACAGCTAAGCCCTCAATATTCCCCACTTCCCACTCCAGAGCCTCAGACAGCTTGTTAATTCATAACTTATCTTGCTTACAGTTACATCTTAGAATTCATTCCTTTGCAATGCTTCCTGAATATTCTTCTAATACCAAGCATTTTTCTAGGGCTAGGAATGAAACAGTGAACAAAACAGATAAAAATTCTTTCTCTTAATGAAGTTTATATTCTGATGAGGACAATAATCAAGAAAAGTATTTGTGTGTTGTAAGTGCTAAGCAGGAAAATGGAGGAAAGCAGGCATGAAGTGGCAGGCCCAGTTCAGTTTTTGTAGATTGGGAGAGGAGTCTGCTGAGGAAATGGCATTATGAAGCCTGAGGGTGGTGCAGATACCAGCAGGTGCGAAGTGGACCACTCACCTGGCCTGATGGCTTCAGTAGAGTAACTGAGGGGAAAGGCTGGGGGTGGAGGCTGTAGGATCCCATGAGAAATCATTCCAACTCTGGGCAGTTCCTACCAATAGGAAAACTGTCTGTTATATGAGTTGAACTCCATTTTCCTGTTTGCCCATTGTCTCTTGCAGACTGCCTATCATGGGAATTCTTAGAATATTTACATGTAAATGAAGTGGGGTCCAATATAGTGAGGCTTTGGTGAGAAGTTACATATAACCTGTTATTGTGTTTACTGTAAGCTGGCTGGCAGATGCATCCCTGTGGGGGCCATGGGACTCTGTCTTTGACCCTGTTCGGTTTCCCATCAATGACTTGCATGAAGACTCAGGTATTGTGGAGCTCAGAGTTATGATGTGTCTTTGGATAACAGTTTAGAGAGATGGTGGATTTGAACGGGCTGTGATGATGGAACAAAGAAAATATGAACTTTTAATTATCCCTGTTCACTCTTCCAAAAAATGGAGGCTAGAAGTGAAGAATGATCAGCTGACTACCAAGTCAAGTGAGTCACTGTGAGCAAGCTTTGGCTCCCAGTGAATCCTCTGAGCTCTGAGGTAGGTCTAAAATTGGTGCCACTGGGGATGAGTTTAGTAGCAAGTGGAGCATGTCTGGAGGAAAGCTGTAAAAAAAGGAAGGGCTCATGAACTAGGAAGTTCCTGAGGAACAGTGCAGCATCTCCTCAAGCCTTCCTCCTGCCCCTCACTCTGGCCTGTCTCTTTTAAGCTCTGCCCAGTGCCTGGGCCAGCAGCATTGCCACCTCCCACCCCTGCCACTCAGTTGGCTGCCACATGGTTTTTACCTTCATAGGGCTTCTTGCCTCCACCCCCTTCCTATTCCCACGCCACCACTGTGCCTGCATCTTACCTGGGCTCTTGCAGCAGACTCCTTCCTAGCTTCTCGTATCCTGCAGGTGCCCAAATCCCATGCTAGAGCTTTCTGAACACAGCTCCTATTTCTCACCTTCCCCTCCTTACCTCACCTGCTCCTCACCTTTCTTGGCTCAGATGCTCCAAGGTGAGCAGTTATACTAATCCTACTCAGTCATAAGGAACTTGAGGTTGGGGCTTCATGTTTTACTGGTTCCATCTTCCTAGAAGGCAGCTCTGAATCTAGTGTGCAACTCCCATCCCAGGTCAGCAGCAACTTCACAGGAGCTTGGCTTGGTAAACACATGTGCCAGGGAACTGGATGAAAGCCTGGGTGGAGGCTGCTGTTAAGTGGACTTCAGTTTTAGTTGATAAAACCAGAGATCACAGTGCAACAGTTTGGGACCCATCTCAAGAACTACCTACCTGTTGGTGCTCCCCAAAAGTGTAGCGAGGAGTGCTCCAACAGAGGTTGCAAGGATATGATGTGCTTGATAGGTGAAGGAACTACCTTTTCCAAGGTGCTATTCAACTGACTCCTACTTTATTTGATCACCAGAAGGCTGTGTGAATTTATTTGCCATGAAAACCCAAGGTCCTAATAGGGCTTCAAGTAACTTATTATAAGTTCTGTGATAAATATGACATAAAAGCATTTTTGAAATTGGTTTCTAAATTGGTAGCACATATAAAGTAAAATTGATCCATAGATGTTTCTAAAGTAATATAAAGAGGCTCACAGTGATTGATAATGATTAACAGTAACTTGATAGTATTATGGTTAAAAATAGCCATTGGAGTCAGACTTCCAGCACTATGGTTTGTGGCTATAAACTTCTTTTTCTGTAAAATGATAATAGTATGTATGTCATAAGGCAACTGTGAGAATTAAATGAAATAATGCCTGTAAAAACACACACTGCCAGGATATAGTAAGTAATCACCATTAATCGTTAGGAATTGTTTAATAGTATTGAAAGCATCAGAGCTTAATTTCAATATATATCTGAATTTGTACAACGGACCATCTCAGGTCTCATTGAAACGTGGCGGCTAAGTTTAACAACTGCTTGCTAAATGGCCTCCTTCCTGGCCCCAAGGTCAGTATCTGCTGGGGCATTCATGTCCACCCACTGATGTCATCCTCAGAGGCCCAGGTGACCTGTCACACATGCTCTTATCTCAGGGAGCCAGGCTTCTAGGAATAGTTTAAACCAAGCCTGTTCAACCCTGTGGGGTGGTATGAATGTTTGTATATATATGTTCTTTATTTCAGAGAGTAAGGAAGAGAGCAAGATAGAAACATCAATGATGAAAGAGAATCATTGATCAGTTGCCTCCTTGCACACTTTCCACTGGGGATCAAGCCCGCAACCCTTCAGTCTACAGGCCAATGCTCTATCCACTGAACCAAACCGGCTAGGGCTTGTGGGGTGGCGTTTAAAGGATAGTAGTGTAACCTATGTAACTTTTTTTCAGCCACTTGAATAGTAACTTAGAATTTTGCATATTCTATCTTTCTAGGTACATGATTTTTTTAATAAATGATTCACTGTATCTCAGAACTAGGGTCCATGAAAAGTAAAGAAAGATCATTCAACTGATTATACTGACTACAAACTAATTTGCAGGAGACGTTGCAGTAAAGATCCTGAAGGTTGTTGACCCCACACCAGAGCAGTTTCAGGCCTTCAGAAATGAGGTGGCTGTCCTGCGGTGAGTAGAAAGCTGGCCTGTCTGGCCCCCCTGGAGCGGCAGGGGTGGGGACTGGCGGTGGTACACCAACCAGAGAGTAAGTGGGCTTACTGGTGCAGACCTGTCTCTGAGGGCCTATGCTGGGACTGGTGGTCAGTGAGAGTTCACTGTGGAGGCCTGTGGCTCAAACTCCTCCCTTTCAAGTGAAAGGAAATGGAAGGCTTCCTTCCAGCTTAAGTGGTTGTCAGACCTTTAGAATGAGCAGACCCCTCCGTTGCTTTGTCTCTGGGCACACTGTACTCAGGAGCCCAGGTTGTTTGAATTTTGGTTTGAGGTAGGGAGAAATAAGTTTCATTTCACATTTATTTTCATGAGGTTTTTATGGCCAAGCTTTCTTATTCTGGATGTCAGACCTTCAACTTTCAAATCTCTGAGTCACTAGATTTGTAGCAATAAGTTGGATAATGTTGAATTCCACCAATGAGGGGTCCTGCCGACCCCTGTGGAGAGAATTGGGAATGCACAATGATAAAGAGAATGTCTTTTATACAAAAAGGCCAGCACTGAGGTGAATCGTAAGTCTTGGTGACAGTTCAGAACACCAAATGGATTTGCCAGCCACCCAGATTGTAAGCAAGAGTGGTGTCAAGAACATACAGGGTTTGTCGGTGAGGAAGCAGAGTAGATAGATCTCAATCTGAAACAAGACAAAGTTCATAGCCTCTCTCTTCTCTCCGCCAGCAAAACACGGCACGTGAACATCCTGCTCTTTATGGGGTACATGACAAAGGACAACCTGGCGATAGTGACCCAATGGTGTGAGGGCAGCAGCCTCTACAAACACCTGCATGTCCAAGAGACCAAGTTCCAGATGTTCCAGTTGATTGACATTGCCCGGCAGACGGCTCAGGGAATGGAGTGAGTAGATGGCCTGATGACTACAGTATAGGGTCCAAGCATCAATTTGTCCCTAAATCAGGATTAGGAAAAGCCAAGTGTGTTAAGCGATTTCTGTGATATTTTTGCTGAAAATAAGCCTCTGGTATAAGAATGACACTTTCCTGTCCTCATCCAAGCTGAGGCTGCTATCTTGGGACTCAGATTCTGTTTTCAGCCACTGCCCTTAAAGTCCAGCCACCCAGCCTTACAGCTGTGGAGTGGGTATCAGATAATGCTTAGTTATCAGCACCTCCATTACATACCACCCTTTTGTGTCTGTTTCACACATTTCTTTGTGAAAGGCGTTTATTCCTTCCATCCTTGGCGAGCCCAGAGCAGTGCTTCTGAAACGATTCCTCTGAAGAACCTTATGTGGAGGAGCGTGTGTTCCCCACATCACCACATACCTGGGAGCTTAAGCTGAGCTGTGCTTTAACAGCTCATTTCTACCTACGTTTTAGGAAATAACTAGTCAGTTTTTAAACTAAGGATATTATTCATATATCATCAAATTCACCCCTTTGAGGTGTACAACTCCATGTGTGTGTGTTTTAAATATATTCAGAGTTGTGCAACCATCACTATTTATTTTAGACCAGTTTCAATAACGAGATCTTTCGTGTCTGGCTGCTCTCATTTAAAATAATGTTTTTGAGAGTTTTATTCATATTATAGTATCAGTACTTCATTCCTTTCGTGGCTGAATAACAGTCCATTATACAGATATATGCTGCATTTTACTTGTTAATCAGTTAAGGGATATTTTGGTTGTGAGAATTACTTTTTGGTTAAAATAGATGCTTCAAGAGTCCCTCCATTTTGCTATAGTCGTGACCTTCAGGGTGAGGCACGATGTGGCCCTGCCTGACCATCACAGGGCCCAGCCCTAAACGTAGCTCCACTGGGAGCCTGGCCTTCTGGTGGTTTGCTTCTTAGTAGTAATTGGAAGCTGCTTTCTAGCCAGGCCCCTTAAACTGTTTTCCCTTTACAGCTACTTGCATGCAAAGAACATCATCCACAGAGACATGAAATCCAACAGTATCCTTTGGTGATGGTTTGACTGCTTAGTTATCAATTTAAAAAAACAAGGGAGACTTTCATTTCAACATTCTCTCAGCAAAAGGTGACCTTGAAAAGGATTCCACAAGAGTGAGATGTGTTTGGGTTATGCCTGAAATAGGTAGTTTTATTATGCTGTTGATTTTACCAAATTTAACTGGGGGTGGGAGCTTTTTTGTCTTTTCCCCTAGTTTGTGGATACTGTGTGTCTCATCAGAACATAGATGAAGCCAAATGTAAAATTTTCAAAATTACTACTTATAATTGTCTGTCTTAAAAGTACAGAAATAGTTTCCTTAGAGGTTTAGAATCAACTCTTCCCCTTTTTAAGGTTTAATGTACTTTTGTAGAAATAATTAAGGCATTTTTCACACTAATGGGCATGAAATGTGATTTCACATCTTCAAGAGTTTGATTATGGGGCATAGCTTATTTGGGTACATGTCTGAGGTATGGAATACTTTTTAGTAGTGGTTTCATGAAAGCAGATACCACATTTTAAGGTGAATTACTGGGCATCAGCAGATCACAAGGCAGCCTTCAACAGCCTGATTACCCAGAAATGATTTTGAAGTCAAATGGTTCTGGTTTTGAAATCAAGTGCTACCTGTTCTAATAAGAAATGTCTTAGGACATTCAGTATTTATTGAGTAATTTGCTCTATTGTTATTCACATGCCATTTGAGGGCAGAACACTGGGAGAAACAATAACAGCAGGCCATGCACAGCTGTGAGGCACACCTGTACTCTAAGTCTTGGGGTTTCAGACACCTACATCATGTGGGAAGGTCACAGGCCAGGAACCTGGCACCTAGATGGTGTAAATGGGGAGAAGCAGCAGGGGCTAAACAGCCTTGTTTTGGGCTGGAGCCAAATAATTTTGCACTCCAAGGATATTTTCCATGCCTCCTGGAAGAAGGGACATTTCAAAAGTTCTTAAAACTTTAGAAACCCTAGCAAATCCAGGGCAAAGCAGGCTTGCGGGCAAATGGGAGGTGAAGAGATGCTATGCTAGTAAGAATTTTGGTAAGTTTTTCAAAATTAACTTGACCAGTGTTTTGAAACCAGAGTCCTTAACAAGCATTGAGATATATTTCTCCATGAAGGCCTGACGGTGAAAATTGGAGATTTTGGTTTGGCAACAGTGAAGTCACGCTGGAGTGGTTCTCAGCAGGTTGAACAACCCACCGGCTCTATCCTGTGGATGGTGAGGCGGCATGGCTCCCACAGGAGGGAACAGGGAAGAAGGGGTGCTCTGCATGTCTGTGCAAAACGTAAAGCATTTCCCCCAAGGTCCAGGCCACCTCATTGACGCTTCCTCTATCAGAAGCCGGGCTGAACTTGGGCTTCCTGGAAGGAGCTGGTGATCAGAGCCATGCTCAAGCTTAGAGCTTGAGAAGAAGTGCTAGATCCCAGAGACTAGGATTTCTGAGCTCAAAGTGTCAGGGCCCTTTAGGGAAGAGCTACAGAGGACAGAGGACAGGACTCTCATCCCAAGGGGCGAGTTTGGCCCTGGGAGTGTTGGGTGCAGATGGTGAGGAATGCCCTTTGTCCTGTAGGCCCCAGAGGTGATCCGAATGCAGGATAACAACCCGTTCAGCTTCCAGTCTGACGTCTACTCCTACGGCATTGTGCTGTATGAGCTCATGACAGGGGAGCTCCCTTACTCCCACATCAACAACCGCGATCAGGTACGTGCACTGCCAGTAAAGGGCCTAACTTGCTGTGGAAGCTTCTGGGCCTCCTGCCAGTCTGTGCAGCCGGAGGGTTGGAAGTTGCTTTCAGTGTTAATCACGTATTCCCTCAACTGTTTTCTTTCCCTTAGATCATCTTCATGGTGGGCCGCGGGTATGCCTCCCCAGACCTTAGTAAGCTGTACAAGAACTGCCCCAAAGCAATGAAGCGGCTTGTAGCTGACTGTGTGAAGAAAGTTAAGGAAGAGAGGCCTCTTTTCCCCCAGGTGAGACAGGTCAAAGGTGCTGGAACTGATTAAATTGAAGCAGGAGTTTTTAATGACGAGGAAGTGTGATGGTGGTTTTTTTTAAGCCACTTGAAAGTAATAAGCATCTATAGACGTAGGTTTTGAATTTTAAAAAGTATCATAGCAGTAACTGGTTAAACAGGGGAAGGGCTCGTGTTCTCCACAAAATGTTACAGGTGGGCCTAGGAGAACAGCTTGCGTCTCTGGATTCCTAATTGAAAGCTGCTGCTGTTGTGGAAACACCAAGGCCCTCATAATGAGACCATTGTGTGGCTCTGTTTCAGATCCTGTCGTCCATTGAGCTGCTCCAACACTCTCTACCGAAAATCAACAGGAGCGCTTCTGAGCCATCCCTGCATCGGGCAGCCCACACCGAGGACATCAATGCCTGCACACTGACCACGTCCCCTAGACTGCCTGTCTTCTAGCTGACTCTGCACCTGTGCTCAGGCCACCAGGGGAGGAAGGGAAGTCACAGGCACCATCTTTCTGCTCCCTCTCTATGGGAGCAGAGAGCTTGTTTTCAGAGAAGCTGCTGCTAAGGACCTTTTAGACTACTCACAGGGCCTTACTTCATGTTGCCTTCTTTTCTACCCTTTCTGGTCCGGGGAGAAGGAAGCCATTTACCATGCTGGTTTCTCCTGCTCCCTACCACCTGCATCCTCCATTGCTCATGAGCTGAGCCTTCTCCAGATTCACCAGTGGCTGCTGATGGCAATATATGATCTGGGACCCTGGCCATCAGCTAGACAAGTACTTTTAGGGCAAGAAAAAGCACTTGGAGAGAAAATGAAGGTAGGCAGACCAGCCATCATGGCAGGGGGACATGTGGATTTTGAATATCAGCTCCTATAAGGAATGCTTATCACAGGAAGGACTTTCTTCAGAGATAGTGGCGAGTGATGTGGCTCCAAACAGGAAGTTTTGCACATAACGCACCAAACAACCCAGCACTGTTGAGACCATGGCCGCCTAAAGGCGTCTGCTTTGGTACTATGGAACTTGAGTTTGGGGACCCTTCCTTTGTCATGGAGGTCTCCAATGCATTGGGATGGTTTTCCAGAAGAGGTGCCCGGCCTACCCCGTCCAAGTCTCCGCTCTCTCAGGGAGCAGTCTTCCATCATGCTGAATTTTGTCTTCCAGGAGCTGCCCCTATGGGGTGGGGCCATTGGCCAGCCTTGTCTCTCAACAGTCGTCATGTGTATGCAAGGAAGCCAGGAATACAGGTTTTCTTGATGATTTTGGTTTTAATTGTTTTTATTGCGCCTGACAAAAAACAGTTACCTGATGGTTCCTCAATTGTTATTTTAATAAAATAAATTAAATGTAGGCTTACTGGCTGTTTCTTCCTTTTAGAGTAATGTTAAGCTCACAGCTTGAACTCTCCATTTGTCCATCCCTTCTGGAACAGGACTCGAGAAGCACGAAATGGGCCCAGAGCCTCTGCTAGGAATGAATTTAATTCAGCCTTTGCCTGTGTTGTCACCCTTCACTAAAGAGTTAACTATAAAAATTATGCATAAAGCACTCTAAACTCAGGTAAGAATAGACCTTTTTTTTCTACCCACACTTTAATGCATTTTACAAAATATTTGATATCTATAACTGTTTATAAAAATAGGTAAATTCAGGCTTAGAGTGAGTTTGTTCTGATTCACAACATTATGCTCCTTCCATTAAAATCACAACTGATGATAAAAAGACATGCGTAGGACCACTGATGGGTCTGGACCAGGTTTTTTTTTACAGGTAAGACTAGATAGGTTGGGCAGGAGGCACATACAAGAGCACGTGTGTACCAAGCCCACAGGGGAGAGCTAGGGCCATGTTTCCCTGGAGGCACATGTGTAAGGTTTCCTCCAATCGTGGCTACAACACTAACCAGAAATGAGGGGCTGTACTGATCTACCGCCTCACATTTCCTGCTCCTTTACGAGGCCCCCTTACAAGGAAGGAGGTTTATATTCACTTCCTGACTATAGAGCAGTGCTCTCCTTTGGGGCACTAAGGCGTGCAGTGCCCATTTTTTGTTTCTGGAAAAGCCCTGTATATATCAGGTTTTGACCACACACAAAGTCTTATGGAAATTCACTATAAGGAATCATTTTTAGGGATGAAGAATCCTTTGGTAAGAAAAAGAAATCTGCTTTAGTGGCAACCGCAAGTTGACTAGTTTCTAGGGAGCTAAAGCTCATGAAGGATAGGAGCCAAGTCTGTTTTAAAAGCAATCATCAAAACTCCATCTGGCTGTTTAGCTAGTCCCCCTCCCTCCCACCCCCCAAGGAGCTTGAGGTGCAACTAAGATATCAGCTATAAAGTAGTGATTCCATATACTTGTTAACTTTACATCCTTCACTCTTCTCATGGCTGTAATAATGGAGAATGGATGAGAGCCCAGGTTAAAACAACCCCACTCAAATCCAAGCCGCACACTACCTGGGGCTGCAGTAAAGGAAGCTCTGCACACCCTACTTGGGAAAGGCTCTGCTGGCGGAGCCCAAGATGCAGGGGCAACCATCTCTCCTCAGGGTTCTGACGACTCCACTCCGGACAGGTGCATGAAGAGGTCCCCAAGCTCTGTCATGTCAACATCTTCAGTGCTGGGGACATGCTGGCTTTCTCGGTTCTCGATGAAATCCCAGAGGCGCACTGAATTGAAGAACTGCAAAAATAGCCAGAAAATATGCCTGATTACCAAAAATGACAATATGGAGGCTGAGGAGCTTGTTTTTCTTTTGTCTATTTCTGGTGCCCTGACTATTAAGAGAAAAACTCAGGAGCAGTATCTAGAAATGCCCCTCATTTCTGGTTAGTGTTGTAGCCACGATTGGAGGAAACCTTACACATGTGCCTCCAGGGAAACATGGCCCTAGCTCTCCCCTGTGGGCTTGGTACACACGTGCTCTTGTATGTGCCCCCTGCCCAACCTATCTAGCCTTACCAGATGTGTACAGGACAGGGTCCCACGCAGTGTGACGGAGCCGCAGTGGTGTGTATACACAAATAAGCGCGCCTGACTAGAGATAGCAAGTCCTTACCCTCACGGTGCCTTCTGAACTGAGCTGTTTCCGCGGTTTCTCAGGCTCCGCCAGCCGCCCATCGGGGTAAGCGTGGCGGTAAAGACATTTGTTTCCAAATGGGCAGGTGCCCTTGCCTTGATCAAAGTACTTACACGCTTTTTTCCTAAAAAACAGAAAAAAAAATCCAAGATGGTGGGAGAATCTAGGGCCTACAACGCTGGGTAGGACTGGTTCATCCTCATGTTCCAGGGAGGGAAGCTGAAGTTGAGGTTGGGATGCTGGTTTCCAAGCTGGATAATACTGGTTTTCCCATTGTGACACATGCCCTCGTACAGAATTAGACCTGCATGGGTGCCCCACTGTTTTGAGCCTGCAGTGCTCCAAAAAGGCAGCTGTCATGGGCTTCAAGGTGCTGAAGCTGGGCTACCCAACAGGAGATCTACCCAGGGAACTTTCCATCCTCGGGGCCAGCAATGATAGGAGCCACAGAGGGGGGAAGATGGGGGTGAATTTTAGCAGCTGCCTAAAGTTAGAGGTCTCATCCCAGTTTTCCTTGGTCCCACCCTCTCAGGGGTTCTTAACTATGTGCTACAGAAAATGCATAAAACACACGTCTACAACATACAGGTATCAAAATTTAACCCCCCCATCTTTGCCACAGACCCCTATGTTAAAACATCGCAGACGGATCATGAGAATTCTCATGTTTTCTGTTCTAAGGCTTGTGGCCAATCACGAGAATTCTTTTAAAGTAGATTAAGCAATAACATGTAATAATTTCAAAATGCAATGGGTATTTAACATTTATATGAAATATTTTTTGTACTCGTCAATAGAAACTTATCTGGCCACTGGGTAAAGCTAGCAATAAAACTACAGGTCCACAATGTTTTAAGAACCTCTGCTCCTGAGGAAAATGACAGAATTCCCATTTCTCATTACTAAAATGAAATTCTCACAAATGATCCCAAGTTAAAGAAGAGGAAGAGAGCCCAATAACCCAGAGGGCCATCTGGGGGTGCTGAGGAAGAGAAGATGCAGAATAAAGCCAAATCACCGCAACAAGTGTGGGCTGCTGCCAGGGGGCAGATGACAAAGAAGGGGGACTCCTGACTCCAGTGTTTCCAGTGAAAGACCAGTGGTGAAGGGCCCTTACACCTAGCGCCTGTGCAGACGGGAGGGAACTACCTTGCTTGCCTGGGCGCTGCTCCCACCAGGTCTGATCCCAGGCAAGGCGGCAAGGAGTCCATTCAAGCAGAGATGTGTGAACCGGACACCTTCCATGGTCCCCCTGCCCCCGAGGTTCTGAGATCTTGAAATGACTCTCAAGCAGTGTGCTCTTAGCAGAGTCAGTTGGACACAGGCTTTAATAAACACATCTAGTTCAAAACTATTCTCTAGTTCCTATCCCCAAAATAACTGCTTTTCTTTCTCCAGCCTTTTCTGGTCACCAAGGACAAAAGCCTCCAGATCACTCTCACTCCCTTAGTTCTCAGCACTCACATTCAACTATCACTTCTGCTTACAGAGCAACTCCCAATAGACTGTCCTGTCAGGTCCCGCACTGTTGAAGCCCTCAGAGGTGCCATCCTCTAGTACCCGCCTGTCAGTCAATTTCTTAATTGGCCTCTTTCCCACTAGGTTCCAACCTCTATCACAGAGGAGCATCTCCAAATAGTAGGTCACCTGTTTTCCCCCCTTTGACTTGATTCTTTCTAGTCTGTCCCCCATTATCCCTGTGGTAGTAGTCCTCCCAAATCCTTTTCCACACCCCTTTCAACCTCAGTGATCACTTCCACTGCTCCCCAGACACAAAATGTGTACCACCCTGCACCCATGTCATTCTTGCACCCACCCCCAACCTTCTCACACATATGGAGAGGCTATTCATACTTCAGGTTTCTCTGACACTCCTACCCAGGCGCATCCTCTTGTGACATATGGCTTGGGAATTTATCACCAGAAAAGCTGTATCATAATTGTCCTTTTGCAATTTCCTATGAAATTATATTTACTAATTTATCCCATAGCCCCCACTGGTGTTACCTGTAAGATGCCTGGTATGCAGTGGGTACTCGGTAAATGTTTGTGGAATGTGTTCAAAAAACACAGTCAATAGAAACTGAGGCCAGGAAACAAGAATTTCTGGACTATTCCAGCAGACCTTCCTACCCTCTGCCTTGCCACTCCTGCCCTCTGGTGGACACATGATAATATCACATGAAGAAAAAAACAAGCCTTTCATAGTCAATGTACAACTTAAAAAGGAACCTATAGCCACGACCAGTTTGGGTCAGTGGATAGACTGTCAGCCTGTGGGCCAAAGGGTCCTGGGTTCGATTTCAGTCAAGGGCATATGCCTGGGTTCCAGGCTCTATCCCCACTAGGGGGCGTGCAGGAGGCAGCCAATCCATGATTTCTCATCAAAGTTTCTATCTCTCCCTCTATGAGATCAATTTAAAAAAAAAAAAAATATATATATATATATATATATATATATATATATATATTTTTTTTTTTTTTTTTTAAAGGAACTTATAGTTAACAGTTTTTATCAAGTAAGCTTCTAGACCTGGCCCAACTGCAAGTATCTAGAAACACAAACATTTTTAAAACACCTGAAAGTACTGGAGAATGAACAGCAGTGGGAGGATTCTGTAAGAGATTAGACACCAAGAAGGAGGAAGGGCAAAGAGGTGAGTTATCTTTATAAAAAAAATAGCTTTTAGTTAAGAGCAGGCCACAGTTGGGTGTGTCTATGAAGGCTGGCTAAAACTGCCATGGAAAACTTCAGTCCTGGCCTGGAGAACCGAAAGATAACTAGAAGAAACCAGAAACGAAGAAGGGAAAGGAAATATTTGGTGACCAAACTTTTCTAAGTTTGGTGAATGACAAAACTTAGATTCAGAGAACAACAAGCGGCATAATATGAAAACAAACAAACAAATAAAAAAACCACTCCTTCGTAAAATATATAACTTCTGAAACCCAGGGAAAAAAGAAATCCCAGAGAAACAATACAATCTGAATTACCACTGACTTATCAGAAACTACAGGGGGCAAATAAGTTCCTAAACACTTGACTTGCCAGTAATCTTTTTGGATTTGACACCAAAAGCAAAAAATCAAGTGGGTTGCCTCAAACTGAAAGCTTCTGCATGGCAAAGGCAACCTACTGAATGGGACAAAATATAAATCATATCTGCTGAGGGCTATATTCAGAATATATAAAGAACAAATATAACAATAGCAACAAGAACGTTCTATTTTAAAAGGGGCAGAAAGGGAGAAGGGGGCCTAGATTAACCCGTGGATACAGACAACATTGTGTGGTGAAGGCCTGAGGGTGAAGGGGATCAAGGAGGACCAGCCAATCAGTGGTTCTCTCTCATTGATGTTTCTTTCCCTTTCTAAAATTTAAAAAAAAAAAAAAAAAAAGTATTTTTTTTAAAAAGATAGGAACATCGATGATGAGAGAGGACCATTGATTGGCTGCTTCATTCATGTCCCACACTGGGAATCGAGCCTGCAACCCAAGCATGTACCCTGATCAGGAATCGAACCCGGTGATCTGGTTCATAGGTAGATACACAACCACTGAGCTATGCCAGCCATACTTTCAACAATAAAGACAAAACATTCTTGTTACTACTTAAAGTACTAGTCTAATTATGACTTTTTAAAGAAAAACAATTTTTTAAGTGCTTTGCTCTTGTGGAGAGAAAAGCAATGTCCTATGTACTTTATATTTTTTATGAAGCTATTTCATTTATTAATGAAGTTAGATCAGAATATAGAAGTAAAAATAAAATATCTAGCACAGTTATATCTGACTTCATGAGGATATCATGAGTGAAATAAAGATTTTAGAGTTAACATGTAACTATGCACTTTTTTGAAACTGCAATAAAGTTATATTAACTTGGGGGGATAAATAAAAATGGGCAGAAGAGCTAAATAGACATTTTTCCAAAGAAGACATACAAAAGGCCAACAGGTCCATGAAAAGATGCTTGCACATTGCTAATCAGCGAAATATAAATCAAAATCACAAGATATCACCTCATACCAGTTAGAAGAGACATCTGCTCTGGCAGGCGTGGCTTAGTGGTCAGAGCATCAGCCTGTAAAGGGTTGTGGGTTCAATTTCTGGTCAAGGGCATGTACCTGGGCTGCAGGTTTGTTCCCCAGCCCAGTTGCATGCGTGTGGGAGGCAGCCAATCAATGTCTCACAACAATGTTTCACACCCCCGACAAAAACACTTTACTCCTTCCCTTCAACTCCATAAAAATAAATGGGAAAAAATATGCTCGGGTGACATAATCACAAATAAAAAGTTGACCTCAGCTTAGAAACAAGTCCACTGCATCATGGCTTTTCTCATCTCTGTATCTGCAAAGCCCAGCATGATGCCAGAGAGAAGGAAGAAATTCTGAGTGGCCTCAGGCTCCCAAGACCACATTCTCAGTTAGGGGTAAGGAGGAGACTCTGCAGGCAATGGCAAAGATCGAAGGAAGAACCAAAGCAGGCACCAGGATCATGCCCAAACTCAAAGCACTTACCCCATTCCTTGTTTGAAAGCTTCAATCAACTCGTTCTTTTTATTCTGATCTTCTACCCAATACACACTTGGAATTACAAACTCTGATATCACCCGGCATTCTGGACAAGACCTGAAATAAGAATCAGTTTAGTATGGAACAGATTAAGTTTCAAATCCTGTGCACATTACACCCTAAACCCCTTGCTCAAATGCATGACCATTCTACATGTTCCCTAACCAACATATTTACTATTAAAAACATGTTTTTCTCAACAACAAAAAGCCCAATTTTAAAGTGGGCAAAGGATATGAGTAAGCATTTTAGAGAAATGCTGAGAAAGCACAGAAAAAGATGCACAATATCATTAGTTATCAGAGAAATGTAAATCAAAGACACCATAAAAATAAAAATATTACTTCATACTTACTAGAATAGCTAAAATCATAAATAAAGACAATAACAAATATTAATGACTATGTGGAGAAATTGGAATTTTTATACATTGCTAGTGAAATGTGAAATGGGTCAGCCACTTTGGAAAATAGCCTGGCAGTTTCTGAAAATGTTAACTCTAGGTGCCATATTATCCAACCACTCCTAGGCATCTACACAAGAAAAATGAAAACATGTTTTCCATAAAAAAAACAAAAAACTTGTATACGAATATTCATAGCAGCACCACTCACAATAATCAGAAGATGGAAACAACCCAATGCCCATGAATAGACAAAATGTGGATATCCATACAATGAGATATTTGGCCATAAAAAGGAATGAAGCACTGGAACATGCTATAACATGGTTTACACTCTAAAAACACCATGCAATGTATAAGAGTTAGCCAGACACAAAAAGGCTAAACCCTAGAAGACTCCATTTGAATGGCTAGGATAGTCCCATGAGACAGAAAGTGAATTAGTGGCTGCCAGGGCCTGGAAGCACGGGGGGTGGGGGTGGGGGGCAATGACTACAAATAGAGGTTTCTTTTTGAGATAATAAAATAGTCTAGATTGTAGCAATTAACGGTTGTACAAACTCTGAATATACTGTAAAAAACACTAAGTTGTATATTTTTGTCTCAATAAAACTTATTTTACCACACAAATGTATAACTTTAGGCAAGTTATTTCAGCTCATACCTGTTTACTCATCTGTAAAATGAGGAAGACTGTAGGGTCTCTGAGACATAAGTTAATGTGTGAAAATTTCTAAACAGTCCACAGCATGCAGGGACTTTGCAATGAGTTAGCTCCCCTCCCCCCTCCCACCTTGTCCCACTGTAGAATGTAAGAATCCTATGTTGTCATATGTCAATTATATCTCAATACTGGCTTCATGGAGCACATCATGTTTATCAGACATGTGAAATGTTTTACATGCCATTATTCCACTTACTCATCAAATAACCCTATTTTACAGATGGAAAAAATGAAGCTTAAAAAGGCAATAGGCAATTGGCCGAAGGGCAGCCCCCTATAACTGTTAGTGCTGAGCTCAAACAGGCATTGCCATTAACCTTAACAGATGACCCTGCTGCGTGTCCTTCCAATGCCCAAGCTCGGTGGGAACTGTTACCACATATCAAAGGGAAAGGCACTTGGGCTCAGGAAGGGGCGTGATGTGCCGGGGCCAGCACTCACAATTTATACTCTGCATTGAAACGCCTTTGGATGGAAGAAGATTCCAGATCAAACACACACCCCTTCTACAGCTAAGACTCCTTGCTGTACTTACTTAATGATTGTGTTCTCAAACTGCTTGGCACACCTCCACTGTCGGATGCAGGACAAGCAGTAGGTGTGATTGCAGTTGGAGAGAATCCCAAATCTCCTCTCAGAGGCAGACGCCTTCTCGAGGATCACTTCCATGCAGATGCTGCACACTTTGTCCTGGCTTGCCTGGAAGGCGAAGGCCTTTTCCATCTCGTGTTCAAATGTTGACATGCAGATCTGAAGTACAGAGAGAGGAGGGAAAGCTTAGGTCTGGGCTGCTGAGTAGCGGGAGAGCTGGGGGCAGCTGCCAGCCACACTACCACAATCGAGACCAGGAAAGAACTTTATGCCGGTACAGCAATCCCTGGATTCAAGACACGACACTGTCTCAGAACACAAAGAGGACTTAAAGCCATCACTGGCCCAGCCCCTTGCTTTCCTAGCATGATACGGTCACTTCCAGTTAGAGCCGCGACCATGGATGTCCCAAAGGCTAGAGCAGCTGTGGGATCACAGAGTTCACAAGAACCGGGATCCTGGTCTCCTCGCTCCTCTAGGCAGCCCTCCTCTCTCTGAACCACACCGACACCAGAAACGCCAAATAATCCTTAACTTAAAACAGTACAGAGTCAGAGGTAAGCAGAGAATAAATTATTTAATGAATTCATTTGTTCAGTAAGCAGGTGACATACAGTACTGTGTATCAGGCATTCCAGTCCAAGAAGAGTCCAAAGACCTAGGCTCTGCCCTTCGGTGCTCACAGTGGACACAGATGTGAGATAAGTCAACGTGAACAGCACAAAGACCTCAGCACACCTGGCTGAGCTCTAATTCTGCACTAGTCTGGACACCTCTGGAAGACAATGGAGAGTGTGGACACAACCTCCACATCCAGGGAGGAGCTCCTCAGGGGTTCTACACACAGCTGTGGACTCCTCCCCTTCTCTCACCCTCTTCAAGCACAGGGCCCACTGGGAGGCAGTGCCTCCTACACTGGCACCTAATGACCTGAAAGGCCCCTTCCAACACGTGGCTCCTCAAGTTCTCTGATTTGGGCTCCTCACACTCTCCAGATTCAGCCTGGCTAGATTGTAGCCACAACGCCATGTAAACCTAGGGAGGAAGGGTGTGTGTGTGTTATGTTTGTGAGACACACACACACCAGGCTCCTGAAGCTGATTTTCTGAACTTTGCATAGCTTTATGCTTCTGAGATCTCTCCTTTTCCTTTTATTCTAAACTAGAGGCCCAGTGCACAAAATTTATGCATGGGTAGGGTCTCTACCAGCTGCCAGCTGCAGGCCTCCTTTCCCCCAGCTGCCTGCCGCTTCCACCAGCCGGGGCCTGCCTTTGCACTTGCATTGGCCTGGTGCACCCGCTCACCTGCTCCACCATCCCACCGTGTCCCAACTCTCATAAGGGCCCATTGGGCCAGCAGCACCTCCACGGCTGCTTGCTGCCAGCACCAAATTACCAACCACCACCATGTTCCGTGCCGCCCCCTGGTGGTCAGTGCACATATAACTTCCAGTCGGTGGAACTCCCACCCATGGGGACAATTTACATATTAGCCTTTTATTATATAGGATAATCAAGAATTGTCAAATGACAATAGAAAAGGACTTGAAAATAGGGTGTAAATATGCCAGGCACATAATACAGGTATTATTGGCAGTCAGATGCTTGCAGAAATACCAACAATTTTGTCACATAGTGCATTTCAAATTTCTTAAAATGAGTTCGCATGAAGTCTTGTAACTTTACCTTCTCATGAGCTTTCCTCTGCTCTGGGTCGAAGGGATGCAGGACTTGGAGCCTGCAGATTTCACACATCTCCCCGTGCAGGTAGACACAGGCGTCCCCAAAGCGGCACTCCCCGGCGGCGGCATAGGGGCACAGCTGCTCCTCGCTGCTGTAGGAGCTGCTGGCTTCTAAGTAATCAAGGCCGCTCCGTATTGCATCAAGGTAGGAATTCGGCCTCATCTCTGGGCTACTCTGGGCGTCACTGCCTCCTGGATTATTCACCACACTTGGGCAAGCCTTTTCTTCATCCATGCCACAGAGATCTTAAAACAAAACACACAGCACACACATAAATGAAAACTGGCCCAACCATTCTGGTAAGCGGCTAGTCAAAACCTGACAGATTAAGCAACTCTGACCTTGGGAATTTCACTCTTGGAACATATAGGAAAAAACAGGCCAAGAGAGAAAAATAAAAGAAATAGCATAAAATGCTCATAGTGACATTAACTTAAAAGCATAGTTAGCAACACAAGGAAATAGCAAGGAAATAACAGACCATGATATACTTATACAAAAGAACACTAAAGTTGCTTTCTAAAAATAGCAAGTATAGAAATGTCAACATTTGGACCAGTTAATACAAAAATATATATATCAGTGTGTGTGTGTGTGTGTGTGTCAGTCAAAGGGAAATTAGAATGTGGTCAATAGAATACAATGTTTTCTTTTATACCGTAAAGTTATGTATCATTTTAAAGTGAATTACAATTAATGAAAACCTAAAATTTGTCCTATGGTCTCCTCTTCTCACACCTGGAGCCCTTCCCCTCCCATTTTAGAGGGGACATATTTAACTGGATCACTTACTTGTTTGCTTAGGATGGAATCTGCCTATCTTAAGATCACACATTCCGAGATCTAGAAATCCCTTCACCAGATGAGAACCAGCCAACAAAAACAACTTCTATGATTTTTAGCTTTCTTTCTGCCCAAATCCTGTTCCAGGGTACAGATCACTCCCCAAGCCCCAATATGCTATCCTTTTTACCAAAAGTGCAACCTAAAATGGCAAACACTGGCTCAGCATAAAAACCAAGACTATGTACTGACCGAGGGGTAAAACAGTGAGTGATACATGCTCTTTATCAAAATACGTAGCTTTGAAATGAACAGTCTGATGCTCCTCAGAACTGGGCAACAACCTGTGCAGATGGTAGTTAACAAGCTGACAAAAAAGTCAGTTTATATTTTGCCAGGCCAAACTTAGTGTTCAGCTGTGGGCACAAGGCCAAATGCACCATCTGAATACTCTGCAGCCAAATGAAGCCCGTTCTCAGGACAGATCTGGTGACTCTGCCTTCAGACAGGTTGGAGGGGTATTAGGTCAGCAACCCTCTTGTCAAGAGAAAACCAGAAAGGAATATGAAGGAAAAAAAAAGACAAGACAACAAAAGGATTCCGCTCACTCACTTCGGTCTCTAAGTACCAATGTTCTTTTCTCACGTTTCCCAGGCTCGTGTAAGTTAGTTTTCACAATAGGCGCAGTGAGGTCGGAAGGAGGGTGAGGACTGTGGAAGCCCGGGGAGGGCACACTGTGGGGCATGGAGCCCACAGCACCACCGGCTGCAGCAGAGGGCCTTGTGTGATCATATCTAAACAAAACACACAGCAGATGCATTATGGACACACCACAAGCACATGTCTCCCACACTGCCCAGACGCAGAAAGCCCTTCCTTCTGCTCCATTTACAGAGGTGGAGAATGAAACAAGCTCTCCCCATATTTTAACTGATAAAAGGCTTATCAATTTTAAAAACTGCCTGGCAATTCAGTGAGTAGAAAATTCACCTAAGTGTCTTTGTAGGACATGAGTGGGGCAGACATACTGCCTCAGAACACAAAAAGAAACCTTGAAAATTCCTGACAGATGTTGAACTGAAATTTCCTGACATCCAATCCAGTGTTCTTTCGGGCAGGAGTCCATACAATGTTAATAATGGCCAGTGTAACAGCTGGAGACCAGCCTTCCTGGCTGTCTCTCTGGGGCACCACTGGCAGGGGTAGGGCAAGGTGGGCAACTGCCATTATCCCATAGGCAGCAGAGGAAGGACTCAATGGAGTTTTGCAACCCGGGAAAAAAGAGAGCAGCTCTTAATTAGGAAAGGACAGGAACAGGTTTTGGAAATATTTCCTTGTTTTAGAAGTTACAAAGTTGCCTATGTATGTCAGTGGTAAAAAGAAAATTCTTTCTATATACATATATATATAATTGATTTTTTTACAGAGAGGAAGAGAGAGAGACAGAGAGTTAGAAACATCAATGAGAAAGAACATCGATCAGCTGCCTCTTGCACACCCCCTCCTGGGGATGTGCCTACAACCAACGTACATGCCCTGGACCAAAATCGAACCTGGGACCTTTCAGTCCGCAGGCCGACGCTCTATCCACTGAGCCAAACCTGTTCCAGTATAAAAAGAAAATTCTATATACATAATTGTTCATAGCAAAACAAACAAACAAACAAACAAAACAAAACTGGAAGTCATTTAAATTTCTAATGGAGTCACAGTTAATAAAGTGATGGTCTGTTAACATTATGTAACATTATAAAATAGCAGCATAGGAAAATGCTTATGACATGTTAAGTGGGGGGGGAGGGAAGATATAACATTTTATATATACCATGGGTGCAATTTTATAACTAGAGACTTATAAAAATAAAGCATGAAAAGTGATTCTGAAAAATTAAGTTTTGGGTACTGAAACTGAGGTTTCAAAATTATTTGCCATACTTTTTGTAATGTTGTCATATTACTTTTAAATTTAAAATTTCCCCTCAAGATCCATGTTCCAAATAAAGGATCTGAATCCTAGATAATATTGAACCCAGTGTAACAATTGGGGCAGTGGCGGGGTTCTTGCCTGCATCGTGTTCCATAGGCACAGTAGCCCTTCTGGTAGTACTTGCAGATGGTGGATGGCTTGCTGTTTGCCAAGTCATGTGAGAACAGGCATTGGTTTCCTTCCCGACACACACCATGCATAAAATACCTGAAGAGACAAGCAGAGGCATAAAACTTTTAGAAGCATACTTTGCTGTATAAAATCAACATATTTTATAACCTAGCATATAAATATCTATTGTGTACATATTACATCATCAAGGCTGTATTTGGCACTAGAGATATATTTCCTTGATTCTAAGACATAATGATTTTTAGATATACCACAAGTAATTCAAGGAGAAAAAATGACTCCATAATATTTTTTCTGGAAGAAAAGTGACCCCAAAATTTTCTATTTTAAGATACATCCTCTTGATTTGAGTTACATGTGTAAAATGTACACCTCATAATTGTGAAAATACGGCTCCTTCTTTCTCATGGAGCTTACATGGTATGGTTATAATGGAGTCAGAGACCTGGGCCCAAAATCCAGCCTATCACCTATGAGTAAGCTTCCCTGGGCCTCACTATCTTTATCTACAAAATGGAAGTCATAGAACCCATTTTATTGGGTTGTGGTGAGCATCGAAAGATTTATGTATCCTATCCTATATAATAAAAGCCTAATATGCAAGTTGACCCAACAACCAGTGGAACAACTAGTTGCTATGATGAGCACTAACCATTAGGGGACAGATGCTCAATGCAAGAGCAGCCCCCAGCCCACAGACCCCAGCCCAGCCTAGACTGGTGCCAGAGGGAGCCCCACAAATCAGCCCTGATTGTCGGCCAGGCCGAGGGACCTTACCATGCCCAAATTTTGTGCACTGAGCCTTTTGTGTGTGCGTGTGTGTGTGTGTGTGTGTGTATGAGAATGTTCCACTGTGATGTCTAATTCTGGCCCTGAAGGAATAACTGGGAGGCATTCGTATTCTGTCCAACCAGAGTAGAGAAATGTGATTGAATACTCAGAGCAAACAGTAAAGAGACCACAGAGGGGTAAATAAGTCCTAAAGTAGAGAGTATTTTAGAAATACCCAATAGAAAATATCTTAGCCAAAACACACATTAATACTCTTTGAAAGAAGACAAAATCCAAATGCTCAAAAACACTAATATTTGGTATTCATCAAAAATTAATAGATATGCCAAAAAGCAGGCAAAAATGCAACCCAAAACTAGGAGAAAAATTAGTAATAGGAATAACAGATGATGAAATTAGTGGACAAAGATTTTTTTTTTTTAATATATTTTATTGAGAGAATCCAAGATGGCTGCACAGGTAAACACCTAACCACAGCCGCACACAACAATTTCAGTAAAATACAACTAAAATGTAAAATGGACATTACCCAGAACTACAGGAAAGTCAACTGACTGGAAATTCTACAACGAGAAGCAAGGAGAAAACCAGAAGGAAAAGCGGAGGAGCAGTACAGAGACACAAGGCGCACTCGGAGAGGATGGAGCCGGAGAGGAGGGGGCGGCTGAGTGCCTGGCTGGCGTTCCCTAGCGGGAAGGAGATAAAAGCTCCGGACTGTGCTGAACCCCAGACCGAGCAGCACTGAACCCCAGTTCTAGACCAGACCCTGGGGACCCAGGCGCAAACAGAGGGAGCCTGGGCTGTGAGGCGGAATATCAGGGGAGCGGTGAAAGGCAGAGCCCCCGGAGGCGAGCGCACACATTGCGCGCAGAGGTTGGACTGTTGGCTCTGCTGCTAGATTGCCCTAGCGGGAAGGACACAGAAGCTCCGGACTGTGCTGGGCCCCAGTTCCGACTGCTCTGAACACAGAGGGAGCTGGACTGTAAGGCGGAACCCCAGGGGAGTGGCAAAAGACAGAGCCCCAGGAGGCGCGCACATTGAGTGCAGAGAAGGGACAGTTGGCTGTGCCGCGGGATTGCCCTGGCGGGAAGGAGACTAAAACTCCAGACTGCTCTGAATCCCACTTCCAACTGAACTGAACCCCAGTTCCGGGCTCATTGGGGGAGAGATTAGACTGTTTTGTAGCAGGCGAAACTCGAGGGCACCTCACTCTCAGAGGTGCTTGCAACAAGTACCGAAGGACACTAAGGAACACTGAGACTCAGAAGCCGCATAGGGCGTGGCTGACGTGGCTGAAGGAAGCCAAGGCTGTAGGCTCCACCCTGAAACCCCGCCCCATCAGGGAAGCTGCGAAAATGCCGAGACAAAACTACTGGATATAGAGTTCAAAACCACACTTATAAGGTTATTTAAGAATCTCCTAGAAAAGGCCGATAAAATAAACGAGACCTATGAGGATATGAAAAGGGATCAACTAGAAATAATAAGGGATCAACAAGAAATAAGGGATCAATAAGAAATAAAGAATACATTGTCTGAAATAAAAAATATACAGAGTCCTAAAAACAGAATGGAAGATCGCAAGAATCAAGTAAAAGATTGGAAACATAAAGAGCCAGAAGACACTCCTCCGCAGAAGATAGAAGGCAAGAGAATCCAGAAAATTGAAGATAATGTAAGAAACCTCTAGGACAACTTCAAGTGAACCAACATCAGAATTATGGGGGTCCCAGAAGATGAGAGAGCGCAAGATATCAAAAACATACTGAAAGAAATAGTGATAGAAAACTTCCCCCACCTGGTGAAAGAATTAGACTTACAAGTCCAGGAAGCGCACAGAACTCCAAACAAAAGGAATCCAAAGAGGACCACACCAAGACACATCGTAATTAAAATCCCAAGAGCAAAAGACAAAGAGAGAATATTAAAAGCAGCAAGAGCAAAGCAGGTAGTTACCTATAAAGGAGCACCCATACAATCATCAACTGATTTCTCAACAGAAACCAGGTCAGACGGGAATGGCAAGAAATATTCAAGGTGATAAATAGTAAGAATCTACAGCCAAAAATAATCTACCCAGCAAAGCTATCATTCAGAATTGAAGGCCAGATAAAGAGCTTCACCAATAAAAAAAAAAAAGCTAAAGGAGCTCATCACCACCAAACCAGAATTATATGAATTACTGAAAGGGGTTCTTTTGGAAGAGAAAGTAAATAAAGAAAAACTATGAACAACAAATACGTAACTATCAACAAGTGAATCTAAAAACCAAAAACATTTTTTTTAAAAAATCTGATGAACAATATTAACTGTTAAGTATAATAGAATCAGAGGTATGGAATGGAAGTGAACTGACGATTCTTGGGGAAAAGGGGAGATGGGGGTGTGGGAAGAGACTGAACATAAACTGTGCACCCATGGATGAGGACAATGATGGGTGGGGAAAGGGCAGAGGGTGGGATGGAACCTGGTGGAGGGGAGCAACGGAGGGGGGTGGGGAGGAACATCTGTAATAATATGAACAATAAAAAGAAAAAGAAAAAAATATATATATATATTATTGACTTTTTACAGAGAGGAAGGAGAGAGGGATAGAGAGTTAGAAACATCGATGAGAGAGAGACATAGATCAGCTGCCTCTTGCACACTCCCTATTGGGGAAGTGGCCGCAACCAAGGTACATGCCCTTGACCAGAATCAAACCTGGGACCCTTGAGTCCACAGGCCGATGCTCTATCCACTGAGCCAAACTGGTTTTGGTGACAAAGATTCTTATAACAGCTATTTTAAGTATGCTCAATATGCTGAAGGATCCAAAGGAAAACATATGACTGGTTGGTAGGGGGCGGGGCCTATGAGTGGGCAGTAGCCAGGACAGCCAAGGTGGGTGCCATTGGGCAGAGGGAGGGGATGGCGATCAGAGGGGCAGGGGAGAGGGAGGGGATGGCGACGGCTGGCTGCAGAAGGAGATGTAGTGTGAGGCTGGAGCTGCCCCCTGGTAGTCAGTGTGCTCCCACAAGGAGAGTCACACTCAGCCAAAAGTTGGGCTGACGGTCAGCACAGTGGCAGGAGCCTCTCCTGCTTCTGTGGCAGCAATAAGGATGTCCAACTGACGGCTTAGGCCACTTCTCATGGGCCTAAGCCACAGTCGAACATACCCTGAAGGCTCCTGAACTGCAAGAGTGCGCAGGCCAGGCTGACGGACCCTCCCCCCACCCCAAGTGCACTAATTTTCGTGCCCTGGGCCTCTAGTCCTATCTAATAAAAGAATAATATGCAAATTGACCATACCAGCTATACCCACCAGCCATGCTCAGCAGCCAAACAGAGTAAGTATGCAAATAAACTCAACCAAGATGGCTACAGCCATAGAGAGCAGGAGGGAGGCTTGGGATTCCCTGACCATGGAGGAAGCTAAGCTTTCCGCCTGCCCTTGCCTGCCTAAGCCTCCACTCAAGGCTACAAAGTTTCAATTATAGAAGATACAAAAGAAATGGCTGCGGACCACAGAGCAAGCAGGAGGCTTGGCTCTGCTCCAGGCTACAAAGTTTCAGTTATAGAAGATACATAAATCCCAGATACCAAGGCCTCTGCTTAGGCCACTAGGGGGCGTGGCTGGCCTGCAAACCATCACAGGCCCCTTGCCCAGGCCACCCCACACCCCAAGGAAACCCCCACCCTGATCTGGGACACCCTTCAGGGCCCCAACCCATGCACTAGGCCTCTATTCTATCTAATAAAAGAATAATATGCAGATGGACCATCACTCCAACACATGATGGCTGCCCCCATGTGGTCAAAGATCCTGCCCCCATGTGGACACAAGATGGCCACCACAAGATGGCCAGCAGGGAAGGGCAGTTGGGAGGGATCAGGCCTTCAAGGGAGGGCAGTTGGGGGCAAACAAGCTGGCAGGGGAGCAGTTAGCTATCAATCAGGCTGGCAGGCAGAAGTGGTCAGGGGCAATCAGGAAGGCAAGCAGTTGAGCAATTGGGAGCCAGCAGTGCTAGATTGTGAAAGGGATGCCCAACTGCCCGTTTAGGCCTGATCCCACTAGGGTCGGGCCTAAACGGGCAGTCGGACATCCCTTGAGGGGTCCCAGATTGGAGAGAGTGCAGGCTGGGCTGAGGGACACCCACCTTCACACAAGAATTTCATGCACCAGGCCTCTAGTATAATATAAAGAGAAATACATCAAAGAGCTGCTTTCAGACATGGACAAAAGGCAACATAATACTGGTCCTTGAGAGAAGGGATACAGGGAGGTGAGCCCGTGTTCAGTG